GTTTGGAGGAGTATAGAAGGTGAAAGAGGTGAGGTTACAAACTCACAAGAGAACCTATGAATTGCTTCAGATGGAAGAAAGTGAAAGTATAACAAATTTCTTCACTAGGATTACAAAACTGGTGAATTAAATCAAGGAATATGGAGAAGTGTTGACATCAAAATCAATTGTTGTAAAGATCTTGAGGCCATTGGCTCAAAGTTCGACCACGTGGTAGTAGCCATATAAGAGTCGAAAGACTTATCAGTATTGACAAAGGAAGAGCTTCAATAGATGCTTGAGTCTCATAAACAAAGGATATCTGAATGAGCTGCAAGAAAATCAAAGAGTGATATGGCTTTACAGGCACAATCATAAAAATAAAGGAAAGGAAAAGGAAGCTGAAATGGCAACAAAGGTATGGGAGGTTATACCATTTTGATTGGTCAAAATCAGCATGAAGGAAACTGGTGGAATTAGAGAAAACCCTAGAACCAAGGCAACCAAAGAGGTGGTCCTGCAGGTAGAGGAATATGTGGTGGTTGAAAGCCTAAAAAAAATTCACATTTAGTGTTTCAATTGTCAAAAGTATGGTCATTATTTTAGTGATTGTCCATAAAAAAGAAGAATCAAGAAACTGATGCAAAGTTGGCGAAACATGAAGAAGAAGAGATATTGCTGATGGTCACAACAAGATACGAAGAGAGATTCCATGAACAATGGTACTTGGACTCAGGATGCTCATCACACATGACTGGAAAAAAATTGGTTTTTCAACATGAAGCCCTCGTCGAAGAATGCAATGAAGTTTGCAAACGACAATACTCTAGCAACTAAAGGTGTTGGTGATGTTCAGATTGTGAGGAAGGATGGCAAGAAATCAATAATTTCCAATGTGTTATACATACCAAGCATGAAAAGTAACTTGCTCAGTATAGGACAATCTGTCGAAAAGAACTACAAGGTAGTTATCAAAGACAAGATGATGAGAGTTCTCGACGCAGATGGTAGGTTGATCTTGAAGGCTCAAATGTCTCAGAATAGGACCTTCAAGATTGAACTCAATGTGATGGAACACACGTGTCTAACAACTATAGCCAACAGAGATAAGTGGTTATGGCATTTTCAACTAGGTCATCTTAACTTCAATGACATCAGAGAGGTAAAGAAAAGAAATATGGCTTCAGGATTACCTAAAATCGATATTCTAAGTGAAGTCCGTAAAGAGTGTGCTCAGTCAAAATAACACAAGAATATCTTCAGCAAGGATGCATGAAGGAAGTCGAAGGCAATTGTGGAAGTCATATACTCTGATGTATATGGTCCAATCCAGGTGGATTCGATTGCATGCAACATATACTTTGTCACGTTCATAAATGATTATAGTCGAAAGCTATAGACTTACCTCATCAAGAAGAAAAGTGATGTGATCGAGGTATTTGCCATATTCAAATCTATGGTCGAAAGACATAGCAGTCGAAAGTTGAAAATTCTGAGGACTGATGGTGGTGAAGAGTGTATGTCGAAAGAGTTCGATGCATTATATAAAAAAAAAGAGATTGTGAGTGAGGTGGTGCCACCCTACACTCCACAATAAAATGGAATTTCAGAAAGAAAAAACATAACCATCATGAACATGGTGAGAAGTATGTTGAATGGAAAACATCTACCCAAAGAATTATAAGGAGAAGCGGTTTCGACAACAACATACATATTAAACAGATGTCCGATGAAGAAGCTTAAAGGAATCACACTAGAAGAATGTTGTTCTGGTGTCAAGCCTAACCTCAGTCACTTGAAAGGTGTCTGGATATATATATCACATAGAAATATGCTAGACCAATTGAGAAGGAAGCTTGATGACAAGTCGAATCAGATGATCTTGATAGGATATCATTCGACTGGAGGTTACAAGTTGTTCGACTCAGTGAATAAGCAGGTAGTGATCAACAGGGACGTGATCATAAATGAGCTTAAAGAATAGGATTGGACTGAGAATGTTAAGAAGGACTCAGTGAGAATCTCTTGTGAAGAACTAACACTGAAGTCGAAAGAGAAGTTCGACAGGAACAAGTCATAGATGAAGCAGGCTCAAGCAGACCTCGACGAACAAGACACATTCCTGTAAGGTTGCAAGAATGTGTAATTACATCAGATAATATGGTAAATGAATAGGGTGAGCTGGTACATTATGCTTTCTATGCAGATGTCGAACCAGTCAATGTAGCTGAGGTATTGAAGGATTCAAAGTGGGTGAAAGCAATGAATGAGGAGTTAGAATCCATCGAAGTCAACAACACTTGGTCACTTGTCGAATTGCCTAAAGGCAATTGATGTGAAATGGGTTTACAAGGTGAAAGTGAATCCTAAAGGAGAGGTAACTTGGCACAAGACGAGACTTATGGCAAAAGGATTTCTTCAGAAGAAAGGAATCGACTTCGATGAAGTGTTTGAAGGTGTTGCTAGGATCGAAACAATCAGGTTGGTTGTTGGTCTAACAAATATGAACAATGGGCACACGTGTCAGATAGACGTGAAATGTGCATTCCTTAATGTCCCCTTAGACGAAGAAATTTATGTCGCACAACCAGTTGGGTTTGTGAAACAAGGCAAAGAAAGAAAGGTGTACATGTTGCATAAAACCCTGTATGGGCTTAAGCAATCTCCAAGAGCTTGGATTAAGAAGATCGACAACTTTCTAAGGGAGAAAAAATTGTGAAGTGCACAACTGAGCATGAAGTGTATGTAAGGAGAAGCAATAGTAAATTGTTTATACTATGTCTTTATGTCGATGACCTGTTGATAACAGGAAGTTGCAAAAAGGAGATTGAAGATTTCAAACTTGACCTAAGTGGGGAGTTTAAAATGTCAGACTTGGGAAATCTCTCATATTTCCTTGACATCGAATTCTACAAGGCTGGTAGAAGTTTGATGATGCACCAAAGAAGATATGCAGGCGAAATACTCAAGAGATTTAAGATGCAAGATTGCAACCCAACTTCGACTCCAACTGAGACCAAATTGCAACTATCGAATGATTCATATGAAGATGATGTCGACCTAACCCAATATATAAGAATTATTGGATCACTTTGATACCTTTGTCATACAAGGTATGACTTAACATATAGTGTGGGTATGGTTAGTAGATTCATGCAAAAGCCAAATGTATCACACATAGCAGCAACGAAGAGGATACTGAGGTATCTAAAAGGAACTTTTGACTACAACATTTTGTTTTCTGCATCTGATGAAGGAAAATAATACAAGTTAGTGGGATACACTGACTCAAGTTGGTGTAATGATACTGAAGATTGAAAATCCACAATTGGCTATGTGTTTATGTTAGGTGGTGCACAACTTGCTTGGAGTTCGAGAAAGGAGCTAGTAGTGGCATTGCCATCATGCGAAGCAGAATACATAACTGCTTCTCTTTGTGCATGTCAAGCAACCTGGATGGTGAACCTGGTCGAAGAGATCGCAGCGAAGATTCGTGGAACAATTACCATGAAGATCGACAATATGTCAACTATCAACTTGGCGAAGAATCCAATAGCACACGGTTGAAGCAAGCACATCAAAATGAGGTTCCATTATCTTTGAGAGCAGGTAGCAGGAGAGAAAATGAACTTGCAACACTGCAGAACTGAGAATTAGATTGTAGACATCATGATGAAGGGAATGCTAGTCGAAGTGTTCAAAAAGTTAAGGTCTATGATGGATGTGGATAGTTTAGACACAATGAATTAGGTGGTGTGTTAAATATGTAATTCATTGTTTTAGAAAGACTATATTTGATTTAGAAAGATTAGATTAGATATTTTTGGGCTTTTATAGTTTGAGTTTTACCTTGAGATGCAGGTTAACCTAAATATATAAATAGGAGGAATCCTTATCATTGTAATAATCAAGTTTGATAATCACGATTTTACAGTTGCAAAGTGATAATAGAATTTCACAATTGTGGGTAGAGAGTTACTTTGCAGTTCATACTCATCTTCTTTAAACACGTTCTTGTTTTTGTTCATTGATATTACATAACAATCTTGAGATCAAGATTGAGAAGAATTCACCATAGATTGTGGTTGAATTTTAACAAACACTGTCACCAATTGTGTCTGGCGGGTTGAGAGCGGAATCTATGCCATATTTTTCTGATAAAAGTTTTGGTTTGTTTGGAAGGAGAAAAGTGGAGACTCCTGATAGTCGTAATTCACAATTTATTAATGTTATTCAACAGATTGAGATTAGATATTACAAAAAAGACTCACCCATTCATCTTATTTTTTATTTTTATTTTGGGAGATGATGAGAAAATTTGCATTAAAAATCATGATTGTCTATATAGACACAAAATGAACTCACCATTTTTTATTTTTTTATGAAGATTTGATTTGTGAAAAAATATGAAGAAAAAAATTATCATGAATTTGTGAATTTTTTTGGAAAAAAGATTAACATGAAATTGAAAGAAAGAAAATAAAAATAAATCAATTTTAATTTAATTTAGAAAACAAATTAAATTAATTTTTATAAAATATTTATAATAATTTAATTTAATTTATTTATTTTAATTTTTTAATTTAATATTTATATATATATATATATATATTATTTAAATAAAAAATAATTATGAATAATGTGAGATTTTTTTTCCATTTAAGCCACGACATATCATTAATTCAACTATTATATCTGGTAAAATAACACTTAAATAGGGTCGGGACTAAAATCCAAAATATATATTTAAAAAGAGATCAAAATTCTATATTTTAAAATAAAGGGATCTAAATTGAGAAAAATAAAACAAATTTGTAATTATTATTATTATTACATGAAAAAACAAGACAAAAGTTTGATTTGGGTTTGCGGTTCCCTCCACGTTTTCCATTTTCTCCTTTCGCGACTCTTCTTAACCTTCCATATTTCGTTAACTGTCGATCAACCTTTCGTATACATTCTCTTCTAATCGGTTCCATTATTTTCATTTCAACAAAAAATACTAACACACTCAAACAAAAATGGGCGACAACAAACGCAAGAGAGGTCGAAAACCGAAAACCCCCTCCCCCGAAACCCTAGACATCCCTACCACCACCGTCGCTACTAACCCTTCCCCTTCCATCCTAGACGACGACTTCTCCGTCGGAAACGTCGAACTCATCGACAACACTGCCTCTTCAAATCTCGGTCGCCGCCGCGGCCGCCCCAAAAAGCTCCCCACTATTCCCGACAAGCCACCCACTGGCCGCCGTCCTGCTCGCACTGTAGACAGCAACGGTGCTGTCCCGGTTGATGTTGGAGGCGCTACTGCCATGGATGCAGACCCTATATGGGAGAGCATCTCGGCTAGGGTGTTGCCGTCTATGGATTCGGTGGTGAAAGTGTTCTGTGTACACACAGAGCCGAACTTTTCGTTACCATGGCAGAGGAAGAGACAGTATAGCTCCAGTAGCAGTGGGTTTGTGATAAGTGGGAAGAGGGTTCTCACTAATGCGCATTCCGTCGAGCATTACACTCAGGTCAAGCTCAAGAAACGTGGCTCTGACACTAAGTACTTGGCTACTGTTCTTGCCATTGGAACTGAGTGTGATATTGGTAAATAACTTTTATCAATCTATTATTTACAATTTTGAATTTTGAACTTTTTTATGCGTATCAATTACCAAATTGGAAAGTGTATTAGTGTTGGTAAACAAACTTAGTTCTGTATTTGTGATTCACGGCATTGAGATGCCCTATCTTCTGAGAAAAGTGCATGGTAGGTTTTGGGAAGGCAAGACTGATTTGAGTTCCTTTTTTTATTAATCATTGCATGATTGTTGTTTGCAAACATTTTTAATGTTAAGCGCCTTGTTTTGTTCATAAAGACCGAATCATTCTGTTTATGATTTGTACAAGATGATCAGAAGTCAAACATAATTTACTAACTTGAATTGAAGATTGTAAAACTGAAGAATAGAGGAGAAACTCTGTAAGACAATAATAAGTGAAGAGTACCTGCATATACTAGTTCTTGTATAAATGAGAGTAGAATTTTATCCACATTTCTATTCTTTACAGACTAATACATTATATTTACCAAATGAATGGAATATAGTTAAAAAGTGGTTTTTAAACATGTGGTCACGGCAAGAAGTAAACTTTTCCTTGACAGAGTCCCTCCTAGACTAACACATATTTTACTAAAAATTGATATCTTGTCTATTCTAATACCAGCCTTCCTTTTTAAAGACTATAAGTTATGAACAAATCGTATTCAAACTACTGGTTTCTCTTATGTAGAATCTTATTAGGTTAAAGAAATAAAAATCGTATTCTAGACAATGGTACTTGAAATTTGACGAGGTGGTAACGTCATTGGATTTTGAAGAAAATAAAATTGTGGAGTTGTCAGTTCTGTTTTTGATTCTTGTGATTACAGAGGGGACCTAGCCATATAATATATATAATCCTAGTTCCTACCTATTATGAGGTCAAGGTTAAAGCCTACACTCTTGCCCACACCAATAAGGTTTCAGATACTTAGCCTTTAGTTAAAAGATATCACTTAACCAATAAAAAGGCTTATATATGCACCCCCATCAGAATCACGATTAACCCGTTTTTCACAAACTAAACAACGATTGATTGTAGCCCATAAAAAGTTAGATAAATCTAACGTTCTCCCACTTGGGCAAAATCAATTGTATGATTTTTATTTTAAAATACATTTTGAAAAAGACTCTCGGGTTAATGACTAATTCCTTAAAATGCAGCCACATTTTAAGGAAATGCATGATTCTAGGTGCAATGTCTGAATATGACTCCATCCAATAAAAGTTAAGCAATATTGATTCACGACGATTATTGTATTCTTCATTGACATAAAACATTCCGTGGTTACAAAAACTGCGGACTCCGTCAACTAGTTATTAGTGTGAAGTGTGACAGAGAAAATAGGATGATTAACTAATAAGGATCCTGTTATATATAATCTTACCATGATAAAGAAACTTAAATTTCAAAATTTAGAAGAAATGAAGTATTCTCAATCAGCAACCTATTAACAAGTGTCAAGATATAAGATACTGCCTTCTTTCTTGGTGCTATGTCCTATATCATATCATGTTAATTTTGTGATATAGTGGTGTTGCAGTGCACTCTGATTGGTGACAGGTTACATTGTGTTTTTATGTCACACATGTTGTTTTGTGGTTTGAGACTAAAATCATCACAATCACAAATTTTCACATCACTATTGCATCATGGAGGTTAAAGCCCTATTTTCTCCTTATTTTTTACCTTAATTTTTAATTTCTGTCAATCCCTTTAGATTTGGCATAAATGTTTTGAAAACCATTCATGTAAGAAGTATGTCTTTGATCTTTTTGGTCATCCTCACAGGCTTGTGTCCTCTGTGAGTCTACTTCACATGCTACAAATCCACACGTCTTCTCTCTACATGCCCATACTGTCTAAGCCTATTTTTCACCATCTTTTTTACTGTAAGTGTTATCGCAACTCTTTCTAAAGTTGTCACTTCTAATCCTATTCCTATCTTGTCTAGTCTTACCACACATTCAACACAACATTCTCATCTCTGCTATATTTGATTTATTTTCATGTTGGTTCCTATGTTGCCAATAGCGCGCTATGAGGTGCTATAGTAGAACAGCGTAGCAGTGGTAAAGTTTGGCACAATGCTTTTGGTCTGTGAGCCGGTCAACAATAGCGGGTGTAGCCGCCACTATTGCGGCCTCAATCCGACATCTCAGCAGCTATTAGGGTTTCATGGAAAAATCTCAAAACCTTTTTTCTAACCTGTGTCCTTTTTAAGGGTATAAATGCCAACATTCTGGATTAACAACATAGGTTGGTTATTTACATCCCAAGATTCTGGCCTAGACTAACATATTTTACTAAAAATTGATTTCTTGTTTATTCTAATACCAGGCTTCCTTTTTAAAGGCTATAAGTAATGAAGAAATCCTATTCAAACTGCTCTTGATAAGATTATTTTGCGTCTTTAAATTTTGTTAACTTTGTCAATCCCTGAACATTCAGAATAAAATTTTAGGGAACACTCCTGTCATCTCTGAGCATCATTCATGTATGCAACAAGCCTTTGTTCATTTTGGTCATCCTTAGAGGCTTGTGCCCTCTCTATCTATTGCTGGCCATTTTTGGAAGATTTTGGCCCCCCACTTGTTGGTGTTCATTACTTTAATTTTGAGCATTTACATGCAATTAAGGCAGAAATTCCAACAATATTATTATGTTCATATGATGGATCTATCATCTTTGTTATAGCAGCCAATTTATTAGCAACTATTGAGATAATGTTTTGTGGTCTTCCCAACCATGGGCCCATGCTGCTATCCCAAATTGGTGACTGCAATTTATAATAGGTTTAGGTGGGGAGTTTGAGGGAATTTTGTTGAACTTTCTAATATGAATTCTTATTAATGCATTCGTTTCTTTACATTTGCAGCCATGCTTACCGTTGATGATGATGAGTTCTGGCAAGGTATGTCACCTGTGGAGTTTGGGGATTTGCCTACCCTTCAAGATGCAGTAACTGTTGTGGGCTACCCAATTGGAGGAGACACTATCTCTGTGACCAGTGGTGTTGTATCACGTATTGAGATTTTATCGTATGTCCATGGTTCCACAGAACTTCTAGGTTTACAGGTTCGAATAATTGATCGTCCACTTTCATCATTTAGTGGTGGTTCATTTAATGTACCCTGGTTTTCCTTCATCAATTTTATTATATTTTTTGCAGATAGATGCTGCTATAAATTCTGGAAATTCTGGCGGACCTGCATTTAATGGTAAAGGAAACTGTGTAGGGATAGCATTTCAGTCTCTCAAACATGAAGATGTGGAGAATATAGGCTATGTTATTCCAACGCCAGTTATCACGCATTTCATCCAGGATTATGAGAAGAATAAAGGATATACTGGTAATGTGGTTGCCGTGAACTAAGATGTAGATTTTACTTTTAAATCTTTAGCCGAGCATCATAAAATCTAAATATTGAAGTTTTATTTGCTTAGACCAAAATTTCTCAATCTTCTTTTATAGGGTTCCCTATTCTTGGGGTTGAGTGGCAGAAAATGGAAAATCCTGATCTACGAATGGCAATGGGAATGAAATCTAATCAGAAAGGTGTGCGCATTAGAAGAATCGATCCTACTTCTCCTGAATCCAAAGTTTTGAAACCATCAGATGTTATCCTTAGCTTTGATGGGGTTGATATTGCCAATGATGGAACAGGTGATTTTTATTTTCAGTTTTGTCATACATTTATGCACGCCGTGCAGTTTATATTTGTTTAGCTAGCTACTAAAAGGTGTCTGGGAGGACTTACCGGCTCATGTTTGACATCGACTATAGTAGGAGAAAACAGTGTTTAACTTATACCTCTTTTATACACAATGATTAAATTCATTCAGCATGCCAGAGGTCATTAATTTGTTGTATGAATTTGGATCCTTTGCATAAGCTATAAATTTTGTGAATAAGTGCATTGTAATAGATCTTTAATACCTAGAAATCACACTCAACAATCAATTTTTATAAAACCGGTGGAATCTATTTCTCTCCATATGTGTCTGTCTATATTTAGCACTTGCTATTTGGATTAGTACTATGTCTCGGTTTTGTTGTGTTCTATTAATTTCAGTTTAGATATGAACAAGAGGAGACACAACTCTGGCATTGCTCATCAGTCAAAATACATTACTCAACCATTCCTAGATCACATTATGCCAAAATACATTGCTTATCTTGTTCTCTGTTTTTTCTTATGCTTGGTGAATTAACCAGCTTTGCTGTGGCCAACATGGAATATATACATGGTGTGAGTTTAGTAGTGTTTAATAAAGCTTTGTCTCCTGGTGTTATTTTTCAGTTCCATTTCGCCATGGAGAGCGCATTGGTTTTAGTTATCTCATATCACAGAAATATACCGGTGATGATGCAGCAATCAAAGTATTGCGGAATTCAACTGTTCTCAAATTCAATATTAAACTTGATGGTCACAGAAGGCTTATTCCAGCACACAGCAAGGGCAAGCCTCCCTCATATTATATTATTGCAGGATTTGTTTTTTCAACGGTTTCTGTTCCTTATCTTCGATCTGAGGTTTGTGGTACTATTAGTTTTTCCTAGAACTTGGGTTATGTCTTACTCAACCTCACTCAATATGCTTGTTAGAAGTTGGGGTCCTTCTAAGTTGTTGTGATAATAGCAGTATATAGTCCGTGTAATTTGTAGCTTTGTATTTAATTCAGAAGTCAGTAGTGGCCAATTGCGGGATAGCGGAGCGTAGGCCAGCCGCAATGGGAAGAGCCTTAGCGGTGCAGAACACTATAGCGGTCACTATAGGGTAAATAGCTGTTGCGGAGGCAGAGGGGTTCCCGGTCAGGAGCAATTTCCGGCTCGCTATCCTTTCCCTTCTGAAAAAACAAAATTACCCCTTAAATTTAAAACAATTTAAGGGTAGCTTTGGGTTAATTAATGAATTTACTATACTTTTAGCATAATTTAAAACCAAATTACCCCTACTTTGATTTTACTATACCTTTAGCGTGAATTTGTAAATTCATTAATACAAATTTGCTAAGCTTTCTTGTGGATCCATTCTTTTCCAACTCAATTTTTCATTATGATCAGTACGGAAAAGATTACGAGTATGAAGCTCCAGTCAAGATTTTGGATAAACTGCTATATGCAATGCCACAATCACCAGATGAACAACTTGTTGTGATTTCTCAGGTGCACTTCTTCTGTTAGTCTCTTTGACCTTATCAAGTTTGATTATCTTGAATACCTTCTCAAGTCTGATCATCTCTTTGACACATTTAGGTGCTGGTGGCTGATATCAACATTGGATATGAAGAAATAGTTAATACCCAGGTTGATAATGACATTGTTTCGTGTTTCTGCTTTCTTTGTTGAACATGATAACTCTATTGGCTTAACCACTTTATTATTCACCGCTTTCTACTCTGTATTTCTGAAGGTCGTTGCTTTTAATGGTAAACCTGTGAAAAATCTCAAGAGCTTGGCTGCTATGGTTGAGAGCTGTGATGACGAGTATCTAAAATTTGATTTAGATTATGAACAGGTCTGTCTTTATTTCTCAATCTGTCTTGTGTGCTCATGGAAAATGGCTTTAAGTAACTCTTATTAACTAGTCATCTTCATTTTCTATGCAGATAGTAGTCCTTCGCACGGAAACTGCAAAAGCTGCCACACTAGATATTCTTGCAACACATTGCATTCCATCAGCAATGTCTGATGATCTCAAGTCATAGTCTTGTACATTGCATCTAGGTTGCTGATGTTTCATGCAGAATACTGGTTAAAAGATGCAGACGTGTAGGCTTGACTTAATTTTTTGTTAGATTGATTCCCTCCATGTTATTGGGAGCTGATGAATGCTTATTTTAATTGTATGTACTAATGCCCTCATGGAAATGATGAGTCCACTTTTTGAAAAGGATGATAGATAGCTAAGCCGGATCTATGATTGTCTTTCATTGAAATTGGTGTTTTTTTAGTAATTTTGAGGGTACTGAGCAATGTGAAGAGGTTTCATCACTCCATTTACCTTTTAGACGAGTTACAAAAACAAAGCTATACTCCCGAAAATAGAAATGCTGTCATTGCTAATGGATGCTGGCTCGAATAAATTGACAAAAATGAATTATGACATATGCATGTTTCCACATAAATTGACAAAAATGACTTATAGCATGTTTGTTCTATTAGAGTTTGATGAAGAGAGCGTATCAGATAGGGGTGTTTGCAGTGTGGTTTGGATGGTTTTGACGATAAAAATCATTCGAATTGCAATAGAAAAAATATGCAGTTTTATTTGGTTCGGTTGATTTTTAAAAATAAAATCAAACCAAACCAATGCGGTTTGTGATGATTTGGTTTTTTACAAGATTTTTATTGATCCATACATACACTTATAGAGAATAATATAACTTAGTATTTAATCATTCATACATTAATAAATAACATTGAAATTCATCATATTTAGACAAATTTTTCTCATTCAACATACAAAAATAAGACTAGACAAAGGTGAAATATAAAATAAAATAGTAGCTTAAAATAATATCAAACACATTATAAGAAATCATAATGAAAAATAGATGAGAGGAAAGGAGTGTAGTTTTGTCTACCACCTTGAGACTATCTCTGAGAGTGGTAAACCTAAGTGCTGACAGAGGTTTTGTTAGTATATCTGCATTCTGCAGATTAGCTGGGATGTGCTTGACAGAACAAGTTTTCTTGAGCACTTTTTCCTTGAGAAAATATATGTCCAATTCCATGTGATTAGTTTTGACATGAAGTATACAATTTTGGGACAAGGCCATCATGTGAGATTGTCGCAGTAGAGATTAGGGGTTAAAGTTGTAACTTGTAATTCTGAGAGTAGTGACTGAATGCAGAGAACTTTAGATGCAGTGCTGGCCAAACTCTTGTACTCTGCTTTGTTGCTAGATCTGACTACTAGGGTTTGTTTCTTTGACCACTACGAAATTAGATTTGGGACAAAGTAGATGCATGACAATGATGTGGATTTTCTGTGATCAGTCTGAGCCCCAGTCAACATCAAAAAAGGTTGTGATGGAAATAGGCTGCAAAAGATTAGCTGGTTGGAACTGTAAGCCATGATGGATGGTACCTCTGAGGTATCTCAGTATTATATTGACAGCCACCCAATGACTCTGCATAGGTTGATGAGCCAGAAATTGGCAAGCTTTATTTACAAAAAAACTGATTTCTGGTATGGTAATAGGTATATTCTAAAGCTTTTACCACCGACCTGTAATAAGTAGGGTCTGAAAGATAGTCTGACCCCTGTCCGGTGAGCTTTAGATTTGACACCATGGGAGTAGGGAGGCTCTTAGCCCCACTCATATTTGTTTTGGACAATAAATCCCTAATATACTTGGTCTGAGAAAGAAACATATCCCCTTGAGGAGTTTTAGAAACTTCAAAGCCCAGAAAATAGTTTAGAGTGCTAAGTTGTTTTAGGGAGAATTGATCATTGAGCTTGGTAACTAGGCTTTGAATATGGTTGGGAGAGTTTCCAATGACAATACTGTCATCCACATAGACTAACATGAAGATGATATAGGTAGGTGTGGTCAGTGTAAACAGTGAGGGATCACACTTGCTAGTAATGAAACCAAACTGATGTAATGCAATAGGGAGCCTTTCAAACCAGACCCTTGGTGCCTGTTTCAGCCCATAGATAGCTTTATTAAGCTTGCAGACAAGTACAAAACCAGGTTGAACAAACCCAGGGAGTTGTTGCATATAAACCTCTTCAATCAAAATGACATTTAAGAAGGTATTGTTGACATCAAGTTGGGTGATTTGCCACTTGGGTGATTAACCACTGTCTGGACAGAGCTAAAGTTAAAACAATTCTGACTATGACTGGTTTGACCACTGGTGAGAAAGTTTCTTGAAAGTCAAAACCTTGGACTTGGTGGAATCCTTTGGCCACCAATCTGGCCTTGTATTTTAGAATGGAACCATAAGGATTTTGTTTGATCCTAAAGACCCATTTGCATCCAATGACTCTTTTGTTTGGAGGAAAAGTGGTGAGGGTCCAAATGTTGTTGTGTAAAAGGGCATCATGTTCAGCTTTCATGACTTCAAGCCATTTGGGATGCTTGAGGGCTAGTTTATAGGATGTTGGCTCAAGTTCAGTCACAGGAGAAGAGTAGGACGAAGTCTAGGTTGCACAATGCCATCTTTAGCCCTTGTGATCACACGGTGAGAATTTTGGGGATAAAGGTGAGGTGTGAGTGGTTGTTCTGAAGATGAAACAGATAATGAGTGGTTTGAGGATGAATCTCCATTTGAGTGAAGAGGGGTAGGACTTGGTAAAGGAGGTGTAGGGGTGGAAGATTGGTGTAGGGTTGAAGTATGAGAGATAATACGTGAGTCTTGTTGGGGAGGAGTTGTAAGAGCCAAGGTATTGTGCTTTGAGGGATGAAGTTCAGGATTGGAAGATTGGGAATATTGGGAAGAACCCAAGAGAATAAACGAGGAACTGGGACAAAAATCTGAGTAGAGCACGTGGAGGGTAGTGAAGACTTGGTGAATAAGGATGTGTATGGAAACCGGATTTCATTAAAGATGACATCCTTAGAGATGTAGATCTTGCCATTAGGTGCCAGACGCTTGTAACCCTTGTGGTGTGCCGACTATCCTAGAAATAAGCACTCCTTGGTGTGATAGGAAAATTTGTGAGGGTTATAGGGCCTGAGGTATGGGTAACAGGCACATTCAAAAACATTGAGAAATTTGCAGTCGGATTCAGATTGGTATAGAGTGCTGTAAGGTGACTGCATAGTTAGGACAATAGTTGGCATTCTTTGATGAGGTAGGCTGCTGCTTGAAAAGCATGATCCCAGAATTTTAGAGGTAGGGATGCTTGAGCCAAAAGAGTGAGCCCTGTTTTTACAACATGTCTATGCTTTGTTTCTACATATCCATTTTGATGATGGGTGTGAGGGCATGTAAGTCTATGTATAATACCTTGTGTGTCAAGTAATGAAGCGAGGGGTTGGAATTCACCTCCTCCATCAGTTTGAACTGTCTTGATCTGACAATTTAACTGAGTAGTGAAATAAGCCATGAAGGCAGTGAATATGGAGGTCACTTCAGATTTTTGTGTAAGCAAGAATACCCAGGTGTACTTTGTGAAAGCATCCACAAATGTAAGTAAGTATTTCAAACCAGCAGTTGAAATCATGGGTGCAGAACCCTAAACATCAGCAAATATAAGTTCAAAGGGAGCGTGATATTGAGTAGTAGAGTGAGTAGATGGTAACCTAAGAACTTTACCCAAGCAACAAGCAGTGCAAAAATCTAATTTGGATTGATGAGGAATAAGGATATTACATCTGGATAGAACAGTCTTGAGGACCTCATGATGAGGGTGCTCCAGTCTGTTGTGCCACTGAGCATACAGGGAAGGACCTATAGCAGTGGTATTGTTATTTGTATAGGAATTCAAAGTTGCTGAATGTAAATTGCCACTAGTTAGTGTGTGCACACAAGGTGATATACTAGAAGTGTAAGGGGGAGCCTTGAGATTGCCAAATGAGTATAGTCCATCCTTCCCAAGGGATCCTTGTAATAGCCCTTCAGATGTAGCCTGGGATTTTACAAGACAGAAATCAGGATGAAACTCAAAATATACTCTATTGCCTCGTGCAAACTGACTCAATGATATAAGATTCTTGGTGATCTTAGGTACAAGTAACAAGTTATTCAATGTGAGTGTGACACGTGGTTTGTGTGTAGATGGAAATGAAGTGTTGCCAATTGAAGTGATAGATAGACCTTGACCATTACCAAGCATAACTTGGTCAGTGTCTAAGGTAGAGATGTTGTCAAGGAAGTGATCTGCAGAGTTGGTAGCATGATGTGTGGCGCCTGAGTCTGCATATCACCGAGAATTTCCAGCTTGACTTGTGCCAGTGTCTCAACCTGCTAGATATGCTTGAGGCTGTTTGCCAGCAAACAAAGGAGTTGCAGGCCTAGGTATGAAGCCAGGTGCAGGGACACGCCACTGAGAAGGAGACATCCATTGTTGTGGCAGCTGTGGTGGTACACTTGCATAATACCAGGGATTCTGAAAGTTGGATGCAGTCTGAGGTGGTATGACTGGATTACGCCACTGATTAGGTCCAGTAGGCGCAACAGTTAGTCTGTAGTAGCAGACTTTAGCATCATGTCCAGTTTTAGCACAGATCTGGCACTGCACTTTGGACCTACCACCATTACGACCACCGCCTCGGGAGTATCGACCACCGCGACCACTGCGATTGCCATCAAATTGAGGTGGAGGATCCGAAACAGATAGTTGTGGTGTAGGATTAGAAATAGTCGAAGACGACGAGTCTTGAGCTTGAGGAGCCGTACCTTCCATGAGATTGACGGAGAGTGAATCATGAGATACCGCACGTGTTGATCGATACGAACACGCTTCATGAGAGAGAAGCATGGTTTCTGCGACGACGATTTCACACGGATCATCGCGATATTAGATGATCGAAGCAAGTGCTTGATACTCCGGTGGCAAACCATCGACGATCGTCTCAAGTTGATCTCGAAGCGAGACTAGATCTCCGATCGATTCGAGAATGTCGACAATCTGTTGGATTCGCCCTAAGGACTGAGCAATTGTATGGTCACCTTTCTCCATGCTTCGCAGTTCGTAACGCAGTTGTCGCGATTTCGCGTAGATCTGAGTTTGTTGGAACTGATCAATGAT